TCGTCGATATTTGAATTGTGGTAACTTCATGAAAAAAAATCGTGAAACAATTTCCCTGGGCTCGTTTTAAAGGGCGAAGTCTTTCGATTTTCCTAAGTTGATATTTCTCAAAGATGCTTTAACGCTTTCAAATGCTGTAAACTGCATTTGTGTGCGATTTTTAATTCACGCCATGGAATTTCACAAACTTAGTAAAAAATTTTTAGATTTGATGCATCTTCATTTGCATCCGTGCAGCTTTGTAAAGAATCAGTAAGTCATTTAATGAATTATGGATTTCAAAAGTAGAGACTTTAAGCTGTAAAATGCTTTTTCGATCGTTATGTTACGATAATTTTTGACAAAGTTGCTCTATCTTGAATTTTTAGAAATTATCGATATATTAAGCAGTGTCCGGTCAATTAGTTTGGTGACTGTATATACATATATAATATATGTGTGTGTAAAAAATAGAGCCAGGAAGTTAAAAATATTTGTATGTGGAATGTTTATTATACGTGTATATGCACAAGTGTTATATGTACATTACATATATTATGCGTAACATCGTTCATTTGCATGATACATAAATACAGGGTTTAAATACATTATCGACAGAAATGAGTCTAGCTAACAGATACTCTTTATAGGCTTCAGTACGTTTTCAGTGAACTGTCCTACTATGTTACCTCTCGGATGGTAACATGCCACTACAACACATGTACCATCTCGCTTGGCCATAGCAATACCCATTTCGGTTGTGTTTCTCCAGACAATTTGCGTAAAATGGCCTGTAAGCAAAAAATAAAAATATTGTCACAATATTTAAGAATTTTTTATATAGTCTCTCATTAAATATTAAATATTATTGTATAAGTTAATACGTAATTTGAAAAATATTTTAAACTTTATTATAACTAGATAAACATAAAATTGAATCAATTAATTTTTTAGAAATCAATTTTCGATCTATTTTTAACAATTCCTATTATATATTTTTATTCTATTAATTTTTTCATTGGCTATTAAATTTAATTAAAATACATACATGTGTTGAGAACTTTTGGCTCGATGCCAAATTTATGTTCTTTTTTCTCGGAATACCACTTTGAAATAACTTCACGTGCAGAAACGACCAGTTTAGGATCGGAACACTGCATCGAATAAATGTTTTCGCCATACGGAGACGACGATTGAGGTATCAGTTTATTTGTGTTTAGCAACGTGTTTGCCCAGGCCTACAGAAAAACGAACATACATAACATAGTTAATTTTTACACCTTTTTTGAAACTTTTTATCAGTTAAAACTATATACAAATAATTAATACATATATGTAAAATATGTACATATATTGCAATAATAAAATTATAATCATAATAATATTGTATATTCCGAAATTACCTTGGCAGCGGCTGTTAATTCTGAATTCAATCTTAAATCCGGTGCACGATGCTTCCTTCGATACTCATTGTGAACCAGCAATGCCTCCTGCTGCCACGTTTGCTCGTCTATGTAGTGTTGCTTTAGGTCGGTAAAATTAGTCTGTTTCGCAGCATCCACGGGTGGAAGAACGTTCTCCGTGAAACTGCCTAAGAAATTCCCAGCGGGATTGTAATTACACACAACGTAGACTTCGCCATTTCGATTCCTAGCCATTCCCACCCCTAACTCAGTACTGTCCCTCCAGATCACTTGTGTGAAGTGACCAGTCTTCAATGTTGTAGGCTCCTTCCCGTATTGATGTTGAGCCTCTTCAGCATACCTACAATCGATAAAAGTTCCAATGTTAATATTTGAATGAATAATGTAGTTATTTTATTAAATAAAAAAAGATTTATCTATGATACAGATTTTTATGTGTTAAATATATTCCGCATAAGAATTTTAGATTATTTGATTTAGTTATTTGATAAAAATTAATTATCTACATTATAAACAATTCGACATAAACAAAATATAATTAAATGCTTAAAATAATAATTTTTAAATCAATAGATCTGTTTTTTTTTTCAATTTACATTTAATATTGATTCAAATATATTTTTATTTTATTATTATATATAACTAAAATTTCGTATAACTTCATTATTGTAAGTTGTAACACAGTGGATAGTGTAACTTAATATACAATATGTGCATCAGCAATAAATATAAGCAACCATATCTCACCATTCATTCACCGGTTCTTCGCCACCAACGATTGTCTTTGGATTGGAGCTCCACATGCAATAGAGATTCTCTCCATAGTCAATATTTGCCCTGTGTTCTAATCTACCTCTAGCCGCCAATATATTTGCCCAGTCTTGACTTGTTTTGCACAGCTGGAAATAAACAAGCACCGTTATTTACCGTTTCCAGTTGCGTCCAAAGTTGTCAGCAGAGATCTCGCCGCGCTTCCGAGAACGAGACAGACAGAAGAAAAAATCGAGTTTCCTCGATTCGCGGAAGTTGTTTAGCGAGGGCTGCGATTTTATTACGATTTCATTGCAAAAGAAAGATCGACAGTAACCTGCTTGCTGAGTCGTAACGGCGGTACTCCATGCCGGGATCGGTAGAAATTATGCGTGTCGAGGCAGACGTTTATAAATTCCTTTGGCGGCCCCGATCTGCGTACAGACGGTTTACGCGTGTCAATCTTTGTTATCTATAACACATACAGAGAGCATCGTATGACGGATTAAGATCCAACAATAAATCCGCAGATTTGTTAGTAAAATCTTTTACAAGATTTCAAGAGTTTTAGAAAAAAAAAAGGAAAAAATACAAATGCTATCGTTCTAATTGCGAATTGGGAACAATGTCAACGAAACAAATACATGGTATACAACATAATGATATAAATTGTAAAAGCCAGGCACAGTGTCCTTAACAACTTAAACGCGGAACCATCTATAGGAAGAAACTGACCGGCAGAAACTACTTCCCATCGTCTTATAGGAATACGATCATCTGCTTAGTTGCTACATAAATAGAATGCTCATAGATAAACTTCTACTCGCGCTTCCGTTTGTGTGACCACTCGTTAAATTTCTCTTACTTGCTGGAAAAATTTACCGAGTGTGATAAATTATACTAAAGTATAAATGTAGAAATAACGCACTTTTTAGGATGTTATGTCAATGATTAAATTAGAGACTGTAATCTAAAATGAGACAGCGATGATTATCGTGAGATTCTGTCGATAGTTTCAGACCTCTCCGACAATCATCTGTTTAATTGCCTGTAATTTGCACAACGTAGGCGGTGACTTAATAAATTGCAGTTCAAAAAAGTAATATTAGATGATTTAACAATGATTGCAATAATAATCTTTAAATATACTTCTAATTAAAGACAGTAAATTAAATATTTATAAACAGGACATTCGTGAGAGAAAAGGAAAGAAATTGAAAAGAAATCGCTAGATTAAACAAAATTCAAATAACTTCCTTCAGTTACCAGTTATTAGTGTCAGATAGTCGACTGAAAACTTAGCGGTTATTGAGCTAGCTGTTTGATGATTATAACATACAAGTTCGCGCTACAAATCGCTCGGCCGTTTTGTAAGCGAGGCCATTAGCGTAAGCGCAAAAAAACATCTGGCGCGTATGAAGAACAAGTCCGGCGAATGAGAACGCGACGACATGCGCGCGCGGAAAATGGAGCGGAAAAAATCGATTCCGCGGGAGCGCGGGAAGTGCAATTTGAACGTCTGACAGATTAGTCACTCGCGTGAGCCGCGGACGATCGTATCCCCATGATCCACCGATCATCCAGACGGTGCAAACGGTGACTCTCGAAAAAGGCGAGCGATCCTGAGTCATCGCGAGGTGGCAATGCACCTTTCCGCGAAGCGAATCTTATGGCGTTTAGGCTCCTTTCACACTGCACGCAATGTCACGTGTAGCGAAGCCGGTCGTCGAAGAGTTACGCTTTCCAACCGGCTAATTTACCAAGTAGGTTGAAACCGGAGGACTCCTAACACGAAGAAATTGCGGTGGATCGATTGACGAAAAATTATCCGGCGAAGAAATCGCCAGATTAAAATCAATTGACATTTTTACTTCTAATCATTAGAGGTGTGCAAATCAAGCATTTGCACGGTTAAATCGAATCGAATCGAATTTTTTTATAATACGTATGAAATCGAATCGAATCGAATCTGAATCAAATTTTCCCAGATTTACATTACATGTTAATTTAAACGTAATAAATATCAAAATTTATGATTAATATTATTTTACGCAACGATTTAAACAAACTGAAGTTTTCGATTTACATCTCATTACAAAGGATCGCGATCTTACATTTTGAACGGACATTTTGAACTAGAAAATATATAATTAATAATATGTGTATACACAAATAATTAAAATGTTTTCGAACATTTTGTTAATCTACATATATGGATACATTACATACATCAAAAATACTTACTCATTTATTAGAGAAAAATAATTAATCGCGCGGGAGATATAAATGAAGCAAATAAAACAGGCGAATAGGCGATCGATTTGATATCGAACCATTGTTGATTCAAAATTCTCGAATTATTCGATTTCGAATCTTACAGATTCGAAAACAAACTCGAATCGAATCCACTGTAATTCGATTCGATTCGATTCGAATTCGAACTATTCGTACACCTCTACTAATCATATTTTTCATAGATATATCTTTTTACTTGAAATATAAATAAGCCAACTCTCTTTTAGAGTCTTCCAGCACATTGCTAGTCCAGTATAATAGTCCAGTATAATTGTGTCAAAAAATACCGAGGATCAAACTTAATTTACTGCATAAGCAGCTTTTTAATCTAACGTGATTTATCTTCACAAGAAGGAAAATTGACTTATGATGTAAATGTAGGCTTATAAAGTATAATACTTTAAACGCATTTAGATATAATTTATCATGTAGTACAAGTAGCACGATCTAATTGCTTATTAAGTTGCGTTGCAATATTGTTAGCATGATCAGCAATATGCATCATGGTGCTATACCTGTTTTCTTTATTGGTATGCGTAACATAAATGTTCGCGTTCACGCATTTATGTAAAGACATACAGCTGAGAAAATTTCTATTGTCTTAACAGTTAGATGTGAATATTATTCCTTTTAAATATTTTCATTTCAGACTTTAACTTTAACCAGATTTTTTGCTCTTTTTGCGAAAGTTTGGATAATAACGTTAAAAGTTTAAATAAATAAAAATTTGAGAAATTAAAAAAAGAATTTTTACGACTTCAGAATTTTAAAATCTTGAGATTTTGAGTTCATCTCTTGTGTATGAAATTATTGGATTTTATAACACTTGCGGATTCTAAGAATTTATCTCAATTTTTCACAAATTTACATTTGTTTACTTCTCCGCGGTGAAACATCGGGTAGACAGTATTGCGATAGATGTCGATACCTGTGAGGACGAATATCTCGCGGAATCAGGAGATGCCGAGGAAGACCTAGCGCTGCTGCAAGACATACCATCGCTTCCTAGACTGCCGTGAAAACTACCGTGCAAGGAATTCGACAATGGGCCGGGCGATGCTGGTGATGCCATCAACGGAGACTTCGACCTTACCGAATCTGTCCTCGACCTGAAAGTAGATCAATTACATGGTATACGAAGAAATACACAGCGCTTTTTTTTGCTCCCGACAGCACAGTGACGCATGAATACTAAACGCTTTAAATAAGCAGATCGAATTTATTAAAATTTTTTGCACTAAAAGCATCTTTATATGAGCGAATGTATAGATCAAATTTTGTTTGAATTAGATGTGCTTTAAGAATTCCTTGTAACTTAGCTATTTGATACTCTGTAGAAATTATAAAAATCATGAAAATTGTTCTAACAATAGTCATTAATAAATAAATCGGTTCACAGAAGTAAAACTTTTAGTATATGAATAATGCTTAATTACATACATTTGTAACCACGTAGATTAATATTGTCAAATAAATACAGTTAGTGTGTAAATAAATAAAAATTTATTTATTTAATGTTATTAATATTATTTAAAAGATAATATTTAAAAGATAATATTAAAACAAAATAAATACAATTAAAATATTCATAAAATTAATTTAAAATTTAATAAGGAGAATTGTTTAAATAAAAACTTTGAATACACATATAAAATCATATTATTAACTTTATTAATAACCAAAAAAAGAAAACTTAAATTTATTAAAAAATTGCTTTTAAAAGGAATTCTCATTAAAATGATAAATGATTAAATGGTATTTAAGAAATAATAAAATTAAAGAAAGTAATAGTAATTCATATTTGTTAAAAAATATATATGTATATAAATATATATATATATATATATTTATATAATATATATATATAAATAATGTATCCATATATATGATATAAATATGTTAACACTAGTAAGCATAGTAAAGATTAATTTAAGTAATTAAATAATACAATAAATTTTTGTATACTTTAAAAAGAATATTAAAACAGAAGGAAAAATTTAATTAAATTCTATTAGTTTACTTTAAAAATGTTTATATCTTAATCGATGTAATTTAATTGCATCCTCTTCCTCTTCCGAGTTAGTCAAGTGATGACATTGAAACAAATATAATATTAAACTTCGTAAATCGGAATGTGTCAAAGGAATTGTGTAAATAATCCAAATACTTTTATGACAGAAATGCAATAAATCGTAATCTAAACTCAGCCTTATCTTACATCGTAGATAATAATTCTGGATTTTTATCTTATCGTTAAAGCTCATTCAGGAAATGGCATTTTCTTCGATCATTTTTAAAGATGCGAATTATAAAACAAAAAATTACACATTTTAAGACGTTATATCTAATCTAATATCGTGATCAATATTCTTTCTTTAGGTTAACATAAAGTTATTTGCGTTAAATACATGAAGTGATATAATTGATATTTATGAGGTATAAGGTCCCAAATACCGTTCTTTATGTATCTCAATGGAATGAGAGCAAGCAGAAAAGCCGATGAAATTACGATGTGCCACGATGTCTTGATTGTAGAGATCATACAGACGATCATTATGGCATGTGCAATGAATCGAAGCGATCGAACGTGAGGGTATAATTGTAAGAGCTCTGTGTAATTACAACGGTGTCTCTAGTCTAGTTTTCTAAAATATCTCACGACAGGCTGAATACTGGTTTACTCGCGTAAACACAATTCACGACGTAGATATCCAGTCATTATACGCTTATAATGCAAATCCATGATTATTCCATGGAAAATTGCATATTGACTGATAAATAGCAATTTTGCCAGCAGTTAATTTCGCATTATAGAACACGAATAGATTCACCTCATTTACCGCGGAAATCGATCATAATTGCATAATTTTGTCATAGATAAATCACGATTTAAAGATGCGTTTCAAGGTGCATTTTCTGCAAAAGTTCGATATTATTCGACGAATTCGGGAACCTTATTTATTATTACGTTTATATAAAGTAGCCATGTTCTGAGCAGGAAGTTCTGAGAATATTTAATGTACGCTTAACGGGTTTCAAGTAATTCGCAATCTGACATCTGTTTATTGACGAATGAATACACGAACAGCGCGCCAAATGGCGCAAGAACATATTTAGAACAGAAACTGGTTAAAATAAAAGTTATCTTAAAATTTTTTTTAGAAAAGTCGCACAAAAAATATTAGATATGAATTTTAATCGAATAGCTGTAGTCATTTATGTACAAAGCGTAATAAGAGAATATCCATTTATATATTATAAAAAATTAACTAAAATTAATTAACATTATTTTTTTTTTTACGTGAATTGAAACATCACAATATAAAAAAAAAACGCTGTAATTTAAGCAGTCAAACAATAACCTTTATTAAAAATTCAAACAATTTCAGTATTCAGCCAAAAGATGTTACGTAAGAAAACCAAGGGAGAGCTGAAAATTCCAGAATCTTTACTGGACCTCGTTAAAGGTCACGCGAAACACCGACTTCATCGTGCTCATCTACGTACACGTCGTCACATATGCCTTTACGAGCATGGCTCGTACTTCCTCCTTCCTCCGCGACGCATCCACGGCCACGGTCGCCGCAAAAGAAAGGTTGTCGTTTCCTTTGTTATGTCGCGCCCAGAGGAAGGAGGCTGAGTCTTCATGACGCATAAAGGGCCCGACCAAGATAAAAAATACAGCACATCTTATAATAAAATGTCAAAAATATTTTTTGCAGTTTTGAGCTAATTTTTATTATACACAAAAATTATAAGTCTTGCCTTTATAATTTTCGAGATTAAACAATATGTTTTGTAGGTAATTCTTGGGATGATATTAGCAAAAAAATTTAAATTAGATAAAGAATAATGTTCTATATTTATAACAATTAATTAAGGTTCTGTTATATATATATATATATATATATATATATATATTTATGCCTTTAAAATATGTATAATTCACAAAAATTTGAATATTTAATCGTTTAGAATTATAAAATTATTGTTGTGTATTTAAGATTTGTTATCTTTTTAAAAGATAAAAAGAAATCTATTTTAAATTGTCAAAACATTTCGTAATAAAATGGAATCTAACTTTATTACATGCAGTATTTTATTGCATATTTCTTCCATCTTCTCATTTTTGTACCTTATAACATATTGTGCCTTACTCACTCAAACGAGTTGCACTAAAAGTTTTTCCCGGCCACGCCGCTTGCGTAGGCGGAATCGCGCGTATGCCATCGAGCAACGATTCCTCTTCGATAAGGATTTAATACCGACAATACGAACCTCGCGGCGATTAATCTTTTGCTTAAACGATTCTAGTGAATTTTGTCTCGCTAACTGGACAACACACAAACGGCGTTATAGTATAAGCTTAACTGATGTTTCAAAACTATCTGAAATTTCATTTATAAATTCTAAAATAAAATTATATTTCCTTTTAAAAAGTTGTATTAGTTTATATATTATAATATATTATAAAATGATATCTTAATTGTAAATTGAAGCAAATGATATATTTTTAAAAGCAATTTTGCGCAATTTTATGCATACTGTATACATCAACATATTTTCAATTTTCTGTGTGATAAAAAAGTAATTATTTAAGTTAATTGTTAATAAATTATCCAACATTGCACTAAATTTACGATAAAGCATTATCGTCTCGAAAACTGTTATTACCGAAGAGGAGTATCGATGATAATAATTTGAAGAGAAACGCGTATACCTACATATTCTACAGCCTCCGAGGGAATCTCATACTTTCAATTTAACTCTGCAGCAACAGAGTATAAATCTCATTCTTGGCTAGCGAACGTTATCGTCCTGTTACGCTATCGTGAAAGCCGGTAATTTACAGTATTCTTACAGAATTGCCATCTTCTTGCGACTCGTTTGAATGTATAAGCACGCGAACTTTCAGCTGTCGCTCTGCTTTCTACGTGCCACCTACGCCAGGTGAACTAGGACCACTTACCGATTCTAGTGAAGTTTCAGAAAACATGTAAGCGACAACACACACCGGTAAAGTATCGGTAAGATATCGGCGCCATTTACTGCAAGGTTTTCATACGCTGTCATTCATATATGTCTGTCTCTCGCGTATATGCTTACTCTCACTTCACTGGAATCGGAATTTGGTTAAGCTGCAAGTTTGTGCCGCGTAGGCAATTATACCTGTCAGACGACACTTGATCGACAAAACCGACCACCTTCTTTTTCGTTCCGTGCACGTTGAGCGATGGCATACTACAAGAGCAACGACTCACACTATAGAGAAATATTAAACTGTATTCACTTCTCATGAGTAACGTTAGAAACTTAAACTTAGATCATTCGAAAATTCACAAGATAGAACTTTTAAACTTCTCAATGCTCAACAATGATAAAGAACGGCGACTAGTTCTTGGAAACCACAAGATAATATTAGATCTAGATTTGCTAGATAAATTATATCTAGCAAATATTATATTACATTGTCTTTAACTATTCTTTATAAATTGTAAATCTTACGTTAAAAGTCGTGAAATGTTTATATTTTTAACAATAATATTGTTGAAAATACACGTTTCAAATGTTTCAAAATTAAAGGAATTTAACAAATTAAAACAACCAATGAAAATTTATGCTCTCTCTCTCTCTCATTTAACTTCATACAGTTATTTTATTAAAATCTATTTTTAGATAGAATTAATATAAAAATAATATAATATTATAAAGACAATAAAAATATTTGAATTAAATTTTTGATAAGGAATAATCAATGACAAATTGACCCAAGAATCAATCATAACAATTCTTCTACGACATTTTATGACTAAAAATTATGTCTTCTTAAAAGCATAGATCCTTCCGGATCTTAATGTATCGTATTACGCAACATATTCTAGATTTTATTGAAAATCAAAGTTGTCTCGATTCCCAACATTACTCGCGAGAGAGTGCTGAGAGAAATTAATTGCTCCGCAAGAGTGTAGAAAACTTGCTAAATGCCGTACGACATTTCATAGATTCTTTACACGTATGCTTTCAGATTAACCGAAACGAAAGAACGCGAGTATATCGCTCTTCCGTTTATAGCATACGAGATAATTGAAAACTTGCGGTCTCTGCGGTTTCTCTCGAAATATCTTTCCACAGAATACAGAGGTTGCAAGTTTACTGTTCGATATTAACATTGAGATTTTTTTGAGATTTGAAAGAAAATATCATTCATCATAAGTTTTAATATTATTAATTTTTACCTATTGACAATAAATAACATTTTTAGTGATAAAGCAAGAAAGAGACGGCAAACTTGGAACACCCTGTACATGTAGGTATATCAACTAAGAGAAAGGGACTGAAACGCGAGACAGCTGATTTTACGACAGGTAAAGTTTTGTCTACTTCGAACCATGTAACAAGTTTCCGGTACACGTTTGTGCAAGAAGGAAACGCACTTCCAATCACGTACAACAAAGAAACACTTCGCTAATACACAGGAGATAATAGTACAGTTAACTATAATATCAATTTGTTATAAACACTGCAACATGCATCTATTCCAGTAGTTTTCAACATTATCTATTTCATTTCAAATAAAATCTGAATCAATGCTAATATGAATCTAAATAATAACTTAAAGTTTACTATTTGTAAAATATATTTTATTTTTATGTGTAATTCGTTTTATAATTATAATATACACTATATTTATACTACTTACATGATATTTATATAATTGAATTATAACCATTAAAAATTATATTAACGTATTTTTTTGTAGTTAAAAAGCGCTAATTTTATTCATATTATTTTTGATAAAAGTAAATATATAATCAGATCATAATATAATTGTCATTGAGAAACTATTTATCATCATCTAACAGTCGTTACTTGCCGACTAATGTAATTATAAGATAACCAAATTATGATTATCTCATCATAAAATACATTTTAATTTTACTTGTTACGTACTTCGATTGTCGTTTATTATATCATTAAATTGTATAGTAATAAACTGGAAAAATAACTTCAAAATCTTGTTCTTAATTGGAGATACATATTATCAATTTTTTGTAAATTTGTATTGATATTTAAAGCAAAACAAATAAAAGTATTAGACGATATTAGTACATAAGAATAAATAATCTTCTTTAATAATTAAATATTAAATATAGTAATTCATATAAGAATATTTCAAAAATAAAAATTTAAGTCATATTAAATAAAATATTATAAAATATTAAAATAATATTTCAAAATCTCTCTATTAAAATATTATTCGATATTATTATATTGTATAATCTAATTTAAATTTAAAGATCTTGTTAATTTAGATCATCCGTAAATATTCGTAAATAATTAATCTATTAGAAAGAAAGAAAGAGAGAAAAAATGTATTACTTTAGTATATAATCTGTAATTAATACACTTAATATTAGTAATTGGAAAATCATCAAACCTGCTAGATTTTGGTGTAACGATGTCCCTCGTTTCAGATGTATATTTCCTTTCGGCTCGACCGCCGTTAAAGAGTTCGACGGTTTCCCTGGTAACAGTTTCCAAAAGAGGTTCACCGCCCCGTCTCCCTTTGCTGAATGTCCTTTGATCCGTTTTACGGACCATAACCACCCTCGACAAGGGTTGATTAAACTCATGCCCGTGCATGGTCGGAGGGATCATAGCCAGCGATTGCGAAAGAGGACCTCCGATTCGCGGAGACCTGTAACATAAATAATTATAATATTTAATAACGTATCAACGTGCAAGTACTTAAAAACAATGATAATTCAGACATTGATTATATTGAGTATTAAGGATGTTTAATACGTACAATAGAAGCAAAAAGTTAAAGGACTGATTTTGATAAATATGCTCTTCTCATATAGTTTGAGTAATAAGGATTGTGCAGAATGTTATCATTTATTCAGAACTAGAGCGCATAAATGCTTCTGTTGCTTTTTTTCTGAGAATTTTCGAATTCTATTTCAATCTAACCAAAAAATTCAAATTAAAGTCCTTATAACTTTGGATTGCTTCAGTAAATCGACTCCGGCTTTTGTCTTAAGTCTTTCAACATATATAAGAACAATCTGTAAAATTTTTGTTAAATTCCCATTATTTTAAAAATTCTATAAGTATAGAATAGATCGGAAGAGCACACGT